TGTTCTAGGCATGCATATGGTACTGGGGATACAGTGGTGTATAAAACCCAACCAAACTCTTTGCCTTGGTAGAGCTTGAAATAATTAGGGTGTTAGGAGATGTTCCGTGCTGTGTGTGTATGCATACACACTGTATGTTACAGGCTGGGGAGGGGCAAGGGAGAGATTGCACTTTGCGGTGGTGCGGTCTGAGTAGGCCTTATTGAGAAACTGACAGGCACGTGCTTCTAAGGCCTAGAAACAGCTCAGAGGCTCGGAGGCAGGAGCATGTTTGGGAACTGAGGAGTAGGTGGTTGGGCTGGAGCACAAATGAGGAGGAGGTGAGAGGATAAAGGCAGAGATTTGGTGACCTAATCGTGGAAGTCCCTGTAAGCCATCCAGAGACTTTTCATTTTACTCTGATTAAAGTGTGGATAAAACTACAGAGCCTATTTTATGCATTCCATAAAAATAGAGAGTAAATGCAGAGGGCTGGCATGATCTTCCTTAGAGTTTCGCAGGGATCCGTGTGCCGGCTGTGTTGTAGAGAGGAAATGACAAAGCGACAAGGCTCGGCAAGGGGAGACTGTGGTGGTAAGGCTGTTAAAGTAGCCCACATGAGATGATCGTGGCCTGGACCAGGGTGGTGGCTGGGCAAGAGAAGAGAAATGGTCAAGTTCCGGATAATAGGATCTCATCACACACAGGATGTAGGTTTAGGAAAGTTTGTTGTACTTTATGACAAATTAGGGAAGAAAGAACAAAGAGCCACAATGTGAATTTCATACTGCCCTAGGAGAAGCACATTGCATGTGGTGTTCTGGGTATTTGGGCTAATGCATCTCTATGCTGCCTGTCCTGTAACGGAACATGTTGTTAGACGTGCACTATTACATTAGGGGTAGTTTTAGCTGAGATAAAGAGAGCCGTACTCAGTTGTAGGTTTAGTTCCGCATCAGAAACGCCTGGCCTCAGGAGGCAGGCACAAGGCAGCAGGACAGAATGACCAGTCACCACGATGTGCAGCTGCCCCTTGGGTTTCGCCTCCAGAAGCACACAGGGAAACCACAGGACGCAGTTGGGATGTTCTCTTCTCCACAGCTGTAAGAAGGAATGAATGGGTCTGTTTGGGACTTGGGTTTTTGTAAATGGATGTCTGGTCACTGACACCAAACATTTCAAAGGAAGGTGTGTGATTATTTACTTAGTTCTGAGGCCAAGTAGTCAGAGGCTTCAAGTCTCGGCTGAGACTTCAGCCCCTGCAGTGTAGATGGACTGGTATGGCCCCCACCTTTTACTCTTTCCCACCCTCCTCCCTGCTCTGAGCCCATGAATCTGGGAGAAGAGCTCTGTGTGAGCTTGGGCTGCACTTTGCAGCTGGGTCTGCGTCTGGTGTCTTGGTGCAGAAAAGTGCTCTCTTGTGCTCCGGTTCCGCTTGTATCCGGCCGTCTGACGCATACAGAGTGTAGCAGTGAGCGGGGAGAGGAAGACAAGAGTTTGAATGTGGTGGGGGGATGTGTCTTCTGAGCGGGCCTGCAGGCCGCTTTGTGTGAGACCGGCTGCCCTTGAGCCAGATTGGAGCCATGAGAGAAAATGGACAGATTCATTAACATTCTATGTCCGTGAATGTACATGCACTGTTCGCTTTAGCTGTTGGGACTTTGTCCACAGTTCTAGGAAATGGAAAACGGAGAGGAGAAAATCAAGCTATCTATATAGCATATGACTTACATGCTTTTAGTGTTGGGTTTTTTTTGTTTTGTTTTGTTTTTTTTAAGATTTTATTTATTTGAGAGAGAGAACGTGAGCACGAGCAAGGGGTAGGGGGCAGAGGGAGAAGCAGCAGGGAGCCCAATGCAGGGCCCCATCCCAGGACTCTGGGATCATGACCGGAGCCCCAAGGGCAGATGCTTAACCCACTGAGCCACCCAGGCTCCTAGTAGTTTATTTTTTGACAAAAATATTATGTGTGATGAAAAAATTTTCAAGAAAGAAATGAATAAATTAAAAGGTCTCTCTTACCCTCAATTTCATTTCTAGGAATAATCACCTAATAGTTTGGTGTCTTCTAGGACATTTTCACTGTGTATATAACGTGTGTGTGTATGTGAATACAGCGGTTTTTTTTTAATTAGGATTGTGTAATAAATATTACTGCCAACTTTTTTTTCTCAGTGTATCTCAGACAACTGTGTATCAAAACTGCACTCTAAAGACTGTCCTTTGCACACATACATAGAGTTTTCCCAGATGTAGAATCACTGGTTTCACGCATTTAAAATTTGCTTAATACTCTCCAGCTCTCCTCAAAAGCTGCCAGTTTACGTTGTCTCTGATTGCCAAAAAGTGAATGCAGTCTTCAGTTGAACTCAGTAGCAGTAAGGTATCCACAAGAGAGGTATATCTGTTGCGTGATGAGACCAAGATGTGTCCCTCGGCTCTGCTTCGTGTGCTGCAGAGCAGAGGTGGCCCTCTTGGAGCCCCGCTGTAGCCTGCTGTCTGGGCACCGTGCTCCCCCCAGCAGACCTTTCTAGCCCACACTGGAGCTGTAGTTGAAACTGAGTTCTCTTTCAGGAGTGTGTGCATGCATGTGTGTGTTTAATCACTCATCTATTTTAATTCTTCTAGTTACTTTTTTAATTACCTCCCATATTTTGAAATGACAAATGAAGCTCAGGAAAAAATAGAATAATTAAGGTTAGCACATGTGTAGACATGGAAAATTGGGCAGATCTTTCTTTCTGAGGTTAATACTTTGAGAGTAAGGTCAGTTCCCAAAGAAGGACTGGTTTGGTTTAAAAACCAAACCAAACCCCTGAGACAGGTAATGCAGAGACTAAAATTTCCCTTCAGAGACACAAGATCTCTTCCAGTAACAGTTCAGCTTCTTCACAGAACAGATCTTGACCTAAATTATAGTTCTTACATAACTGCGGGACTTCAGCCAAGCCATCCAGACCAATAGTGCTTGACAAGAACATAGATAAGAGGTCCTTTTCTGGCAACCTCTCATGTCTAACCTCAGCAAAGGCCTGAATTTCCTAGAAAGAATCGTTAGAAGAAAGCGAATCCTAGGACCTGTAGTTAGAATTTTTCGATCCCTTTTTTATAGTCTGCCTCTTACTCACTGATTAAATGTCTTGCAGAGCTGGACTTCCCAAGAACTCTCTTGCTTTTTACATCTTGCAATTCCCTGTTCATTATACAAACAAAGAGGGCCAGGCTTTAGCCTCTTCGGGCCACCCACCCTAGAAAATGAAGAGCCCAGACCAGTCTGTTAGGACCGTGGCAGCACCCTGCTGCACTCCCTCCTGATGACCTTCAACCACTCACAAAATCATTTGTTTCAGAAGATCTCCTTCTCCCTAGGAGACTCCCTGCAAGCCAGCTAACCAGCCTCGGACATAAGCTTTTACCATCTATTCTCTTCATTCCCCCTCCTCCTCACCTGGTCATGCCTGTTCTTGTCACTCTGTCTGTGGCCCATCCTCCTGCACCCGGTCTGTCCATGGCCACTCCCTAGTTGCTACTCCTGATAACCAGTAATGCTTCTCACTTGGTTCTACAGGGTCTTCTCCTCAGACAGCCCTCTGCTGAGAGCCCATATTCTTAGGCTAACTCTCATGCATATTCCAACCAGTTTTTGCTGGTGATAGTATATAGTATTTATGTGTAGAACTGGCTGCTCCTGAAAGCTGAAATGTTACGTTTTCTTAATCTATTAAATGCCTTGGAATAGTGCTATTCAGCAGAAATACAGTGTGAGCCACATACGTAATTTAAAATTTTCTAGTAGCCATATTTTTTTAAAAAGGTGAAATTATAATGTTTATTTAATTCAATAAAATTCAAAAAATTTAATTCAGTACATACAAACTATTATTTGAACACGTAATCAATATGAAAAATTAATTTTTTTCATGCTAAGTGCTCAGAATTCGGTGTGTGTTTTATACTTAAAACATATTCCACTTCAGATTAGCCATATTTCAGGTGCTCAGGAGCCTTTTGTGGCTTCTGTCTGCCATCTTGGACGACAGAAAAGCTCTAAAAATATCTCCCAGTGACTCAGTTCTTGCCATTGGAAATGGTGGGCTCAGACATTATTGAAAAGAAATAGATCTGTTAACCCTCCTTAATGATCTTTACACTTCCTACCTCCAAAATCTGGATTTTTATTTTCCTTCATGTTCAAGTTGATTTTCTTTTTCAGGCCTGAGTTAAATTAATTTTGATAGCACTTAAGGTGGGCTTCATTCTCTGAACTATTCTCAGGCATATGGTTTCTGGGTTTCCTGGCACGTATAATAGCTTATTTCTCTTTATTTTAATTTGGGTCCCAGAAAGATTATCTCGAATATTGAAATACTTCTTCAAATCAAGATTCATGCACATCTTTATTTAGGCACCTAAAATATTCTGTGAATGTGTCACCCAGTATAATTTTTGAGTACTTGAAAGCTAAAATTTACGGTGGCATTGCCAAAGCTCCACATAGAAAAATGTGTGTGTTTGCGGCTAAGGCCACGTCCACTCATCCAGAGGACCTAACTCTGTGTCAGTTCTAAAATAGTAACCAAAGGATCACATCCAGAAGAGAGCCCCTGGGAAGGTTGTGTCGACTTGAAATTTTAGTAGTGAAGGACTATTAAAAGGAGAGGAGAGGTGTGTTTTACTTGGGCAGTCATGAAATCTATTTTTACATCTCCGAAGGCCTGCCAGACAGAGGATTCCATGTGTACTGAGTGGGCCCAGAGAACACTAACTGCACTGGCTGAAGGTTACAGAAAAGGCAGACCTTTTGTATAACACCGAAAAGACCTTGACCTTGGTAACAGGTGTCCATATGGAAATAAGCTACTCAAGAAGTAATGCCTTTTCTCACCGTAGATGTTGCAGGAGGCGAGGTGGCTGTGTCCCCGTGAGGTGGTATAGGGAAGTCAGGCATCAGGTCCTGCGTGTCATCCATTCCTGAGAAGCTCTCTCGGTGTCCTCTCTCTTCCCCTTCCTTTTCTTAACAGTTAGAACAACAGAGGCAGCAGTTGCTCACTGAACGCCAGAACTTCCACATGGAACAGCTGAAATATGCCGAATTGCGAGCCCGGCAGCAGATGGAACAGCAGCAGCACGGGCAGAACCCTCAGCAGGCACACCAGCACTCAGGAGGACCTGGCCTGGCGCCGCTTGGAGCAGCAGGGCACCCCGGCATGATGCCCCATCAGCAGCCCCCTCCCTACCCTCTGATGCACCACCAGATGCCACCACCTCATCCACCGCAGCCAGGTGAGCGGCAGGCTGTGCTCCCGGGTAAGGCTGCAGCCATCCCTGTGGCCCAGCTGTCAAAGGAGTGAACCACACCCTTGCTGATTCGGGGCTAGGACTGTGACTAGGATGCCCACTGTCATCTAGGTAGTTGTAGGCAATGGGACCTGGTTGTAGAGCCATCACCACATAATGCTTGTCATGTTCTGTTCATGGTGTGATGCCTTGCCCTGGGTCGGTCAGCCTCCACGTGGCCAGTATATGCCAGAGTTCCTTAAAAATTCGTCCTTGGGTTGTCTACACTTGTTTTGTTTTGTTTTGTTTTAACTTACAGACATTTTAAAAGATAGACACACACAAAAATAATAATGCAGTGAACTCTTATGACCCGGCTTCCACACCCATCACTTTCCTGCCATTTATCACCTTTTGTTAGAGAAATCTTCTACCATGGGCAAAAGTAGAGCGCATAGTGTAAAAATCCCCCCATATATACCTATTGTACAGTTTCAGAATTACCGATATTTTGTTTATTCCTCAGTGCTTATTTTTAAAATTTATTCCTAAAACTACTGGGATAAATATTTAAGAGAGAAATTCCCTATGGCTACTTGGTGCTTGGTTCTGGCTGGTGTTAAGCATCAGAATCTGTAGTAATTGTTTACAGAGGGATCCTGAGGAGTTCCAACATCTGCATTTAGCTTGTACAGGATGGGAAGAGAGATGCTTTTGCCTTTTTCCCTAAATAACATCCTGGTGAGGACAAGTCTTTGCATGCTAGGCCAGTCACCCACCTTGTTCTGCTCACTTCTCATTGTCCTCACTTTACAGTTGAAGAACCGATGCATGGCAGGGACCACACGGCCTTGCTGCCTGATGGAGCCAGGATTTGTGCTGGGCTCCGTCTGATTCCAGAATGATAGCCGGACACTGCCCCGTGACCCCCGGACTAAGAGGGACTTGCAGCAGATTCAGATACAGCTCTTCTCTTAGGGAGACCATGCCAGAGAAACAAGAGTTCATAAAAATAGCCTTTAGAATGGAAATAGGGCGTTTTTCTCTTTTTACTTTCTCACAGAAATAAGCTCTTCTTCAGTGAATTTTAAAGAAAAGGATCATTGCATGTATGATGAGACTAAAATCTGTGATGAGATCTTTTTTCTTAAAGTTTTTTATTGAAATACAATGTACATATGAAAAAATACACAAATCATGAGTACTTAGTGAATTTTAACAAAGAGAATATACCTGTGCAACTACTACCCAAAAGCCCCTGCTTTTCTCCTCTCTACCTCCTTTTCTCCGGGGGGCAACAGCTATCCTGGTTCCTGACAGCAGCGACTAGTTGGGCTTGTTTTGAATGTTATTTAGAGGGAATCACACAGTGACTTTTGTTTCTGTCCGGTTTCTTTCACCAACACTTGGTATGTGAGATACATCCACGCCGTTGGATTTGCATGGGGTTGCAGATTTATTTCTCCTGTTTGCTGTATGTAGTCCATTGTGGGCTCTACCCCAGTTTATTAGTCTGTTCTCCTGTTGATGGACATTTGATTCGTTTCCAGGCTTTGGTTTTAACAGATAGTACGTGCTACTGTGAACATGCGTGTGCACATGTCTTTTGATAGAAGTAGGTATACATTTTTTAATGTATTTTTAAATTTAAATTCAATTAATTAACATATAATGTATTATTAGTTTCAGAGGTAGAGGTCAGTGATTCATCAGTCTTTTATAACACCCAGTGCTGATTATATAGTATTCCCTCATTAATGCCCATCACCCAGTTACCCCATCCCCCCACCCACCTCCCCTCCAGCAACCCTCAATTTGTTATCTAGAGTTAAGAGTCTCTTATGGTTTGTCTCCCTCTCTGATTTCATCTTGTTTTATTTTTTCCTGTCTTCCCCTATGATCCTCTGTTTTGTTTCTTGGATTTCATATATGAGTGAAACCATATGATAATTGTCTTTCTCTGATTGACTTATTTCCCTTAGCATAATACCCTCTAGTTCCATCCACATCATTGCAAATGGCAAGATTTCATTTTTTTTTTTTTTGGATAGCTGAGTAGTATTCCAAGATGTGGAATACACCACATCTTCTTTATCCATTCATCTGTCGATGGACATCTGGGTTCTTTCCAAAGTGGCTATTGTGAGCATTGCTGCTATAAACATTGGGGTGTAGGTACCCGTTCAGATCACTACATTTGTATCTTTGGGGTAAATCCCTAGTAGTGCAATTGCTGGGTCATAGGGTAGCTCTGTTTTCAACTTTTTGAGGAACTTCCATACTTTATTCCATAGTGGCTGCACCAGCTTGCATTCGCACCAACAGCAGACATAGGTATACATTTCTGTTGTGTGTGCCCCAAAGTCCCTAGAATGGGTCATAGGATATGCATATGTTCACATTAGTAGATGCTGCCAATATTGTTCCAGAATGGTCATACAGATTTACATGCTTGCAATGTGTGAGAGTTCTAGCAGCTCCAGGTAATCATTTTTCTTAATTGCCCCTTTTGTGGGGGTGCTTTAGAGTTCAAAAGTAAAGTTAAATCAAGTGTGTTAGTAAAATTAAGAACAACAATAAATTGAACCCACTAGTTAAAAGTTGCCTTAATATCACCACTTCAGAAAAAGCTGGTTGTTAACGGGTGAGCCTAGAGCACCTATATTCTGGTGATGAGCTAAAGGGGCCTTTGGAAGCTGGGCAGATGAGGAAGTGGGTAGTGTTTTAGGTGAAGTTCCTCTTCAGTCTCTGGTTTGCTACAAGGTGTCAGTTAAGAACTTTGAGTTTGGTCCTTCGAACTGTTGTTTCCTAAGTCCTAGAAAAGTTTACAGGCCACAGCGTTTATGTTAGGAGCTGAGGATAATTATCCAGATCAGTTGGCTAGCTTTTGGTATTTGGCCAGAATTTATGGTGTGTGAAGGAAGGGGAAATCAGCCTCTGAAAAGCCAGCAAGGTTGAGGAAGTGGCGAGAAGGTCAAGACTAATTTCTCACTGGGTAGTTAATTTGTCCAGCTCTGTTAATTAGGGTTTGTATAATTATGTAGATAAATCCCACGTAATCTCTTCTCCACAAAACTGTCCCATCAGTTAGTGGTAGAGCCCATTAAAATAGCAGCTCAATGTCATGAATCTGCCAGGCTGTCAAACACACGAGCCTGGGCCCCAGAGTGGCTGGTATAAATCAACACCTGTCCTCCTCTGAGGACCACTCCTTAATTCATTCGCTTACTTAGAATTTTGTATAGAGGGGCGCCTGGGTGGCTCAGTTGGTTAAGCAACTGCCTTCGGCTCGGGTCGTGATCCCAGAGTCCTGGGATCCAGTCCTACATCGGGCTCCTGGCTCAGTGGGGAGCCTGCTTCTCCCTCTGACCCTCTCCCCTCTCATGCTTTTTCTCTCTCTCTCTCTCTCAAATGAATAAATAAATAAAATCTTTTTTAAAAAAAATAATTTTGTATAGAGAATACCGTCTTTATGCTGTTCTCATTCTTCCTCGGCGCTTATTATTTGGTCCTGCTCCTAACCCAGGAAGTCCAGCTTTGTGTAGGTTTTATTTTGTTCCTGTCTCTGACAAACTGTCCCAAGTAGGTCTGTTTGCTACCAAACAAAAAGGCAAAAAGGAAGTATCTGTAGTCTGTTGCTGGTGTACAGAGAGCACATGGAGACTGGAGGCGACTCCAGCCATCTTTGTACCGCCCTTAGGTTTTGCTCATCATGATAAAGTCGTGCCACTGCATTTCCTCTTTACATTTAAATTGGAAAACTGATTTCATGAAGTGATTTCTAGATTTAAGCCTTCTGAGTTCTCCCTGTAAAACTGCCATTCCAGACGAACAAGGTGAGCAGTCATGATAGCAGCCGGTTCTTGAGCACTCGCACAGTAGCCTTTGAGTGTGCCCTGGCCTGCGGTATCCATGACGGCACGTGGGGAACCAAGGACAGGGGCCTGGGTCGAGGCTGCTGCTTCCTGAGGTGCTCTTGATTGCGCTGCTTACCTGAGCCAAGAGGACACCTCCCATGGCTGGGGGTCTTCAATGTCGGCACTCCCAAGGGCCTCAGCCCGTTCTTAGAGGAACACGACCTGTCAGTGATTTGAGTCAAAAGGAAATGACAAAAATCTAGTATGTGAGTACAGCCTAAGCTCTGCCCTCCGCTGGACATTTATAGTAGATGAGGCACTTTGGAGTTTTCATGGATCTGGAAAGAGCTGCCTTCCCTGGGGAAGCCCCTGTGTGAAAAGCAGAAGGAAAAGGACATGTTGGTTTAGATACCTTTATGGTTTCCTTGTGGTTAATAGTAGAAGGATTTCTGGAAGTGCCTAAAATAACCAGAATAGAAATGGATCTGAATTGGTGAGAACTCAGACATGGTAAAAATGATGTTTTAATGATAAAACTAGAATTAGTAAAATGCTGGTAGTTTAAGGAAATTTCAACCAAGGCATTAGTCACTTGGCTTTTAAGCCCCCAAGTTAGACCCACTTACACAATTCTGCCCGTGGGAACCATGCTCAGGAAAGGATTCCATCCAGTCATCCCTTCCCAGGCTACTCCCTGGACTCCCAGCCCCACACCGAAAAAGGAAAAGCCCAAGTTTTTATTATCTGCGGCGCCTTTGGTCCTGCTCGCATCATGTGATAACAAGGCCACTGAGCCACTTTCCGGCTTAGCAGGTTACCCTCACAAAGAGAACAGTGAGGGCCCAGTCTTCAACAAAGAGCGTCTGTCGTGGGTGCCCCCGGAAGCTGCTGCAGCAGGAGCATTCCCTGAGGAGCCTGGGCTTCCCCTCACTTGGCCCTGATTGTGTTATTTCCGTTCTCCAGGGCACTCAGCCAGAGGATGTGCTGTGGACGGTTAGAAAAGGGAGTGATGAAATGTGCCCAAGATTGGAAATTCACAAGTTCCCTCTCCTAGTTTCATGTTCTTTTCCCACCTGCCTCTTCCATCCCAAAGAATAAAAATCTTTAAATAATATTCCACCAGGCATGATGGGCATAATGCTTTAGTAA